AATATCAGTCTTTCCTGTCTTGTGTATTATAAAACTTGCCATTCTTAATTAAGCGAATAGACCCTTAGCAACACATAGCAAACAATGAATTTGAGCCACGGATCTTAAGATCCGGAATACTAAAAATGCCATTAATGTAGCGTTTATTTTTTTTTCTGGGATCCTGTTTAGTCCACGTAAAGTAAAATCCCTTTAAGATTTTTCGTATAGAGTAGAGCTTTATAAATGGAAGAGGTTAATGCTTGTTTCTTGAGTTAGTTTTTAAAAATACACATCGCAGAGTTCAGTCACCAGGTTGATACTGAAAAATCAATAACATTTGAAAAAGCTTTGTGTGGGCATTTACAAAAGCATGGGTTTGTCCTTGAAAAGCTTAGAAGCCGGCAGTAATCCTTCGAGAAATAATTACAAAACTGTTTAATATATATGTGCAAGTGGCCACAAAGAAAACGCTTGACAAATTAAATAATCCGATTCTTTCTTAAAAACAGCAGTTATATTTACTGCTCTATAATAATAAGGTGAATGTTAATTTTCCAGATGGATCTGGACAGAATACTACATCTTTGCAATCTTCACAAACAGTTTCTCTAACCACCTCATCCTCACAGCCTGCGGCCAACACACCGTTGATGACTCCAACACCAACAGCCTCTCCGTCTCATTCCACAATGGCTGCTCTGAGCAGTTCAGTCTCTGTGAAAAGTTCTACCAGTGTGGTCCCCACTAAGGCAGCTCTAACAAAGTGTAAGAAAACAAAGAATATTTGCAGGAATAAGAAAATTAGAGTAGATCCACTCGTTAAGTTCCCTGATACAACCACCATTAATATTTGACATTAAACTGTTCAATAATCCGTTTTCCCATGACTGTCTTGTCAGCACCAAAACCAAACGCCTGTGGCTCCTGGACTTACAATTGCTAGTTTGCGCGTGACGTCACGGCGGCCATGTTGGAGGTCGAGAAAAAAAGCATTTCTCTCCTCTCAGACTGGGAACTTAACTCTTTTTTAATGAGAATTCTTCAAGAAAAAATTATATTGTATTGACCTCCAACATGGCCGCCTTGTCACGTGGTTACAAACCAAGAATTAGAAAAACTTTGAGGCCATTTCTATGAGTGTAGACCAAGTTTTGAAAGTCTACTTTCCAACAAACGAATCACATGAAATCACGTGCGAAACAGAGTGTATTATGAGAGATTCCAAAAAAGATAAAACTACGATTTTAGTTGCCATTATTATTATATGCCGAAAATGAATACACCGAATGCCAGATAACCGAATCAAAAGTAGATGATTCAGTCTTGATGGTCAACACTGTTGTTTTGAATTATTTTTAATCGTCAGCATGTGTCTCCGTCAGTTTTGTACTAAATTTCCCATGGAATGATTCTTACGCAAGCAATAACTCAAGGGAGTTCAAGTTACTAAAGTTCGGGATGGCGATAGTGGTGAGTGGCTCTGTAATTTACAATGAAAGCTGCATTATAAGCAGATCCCATATCGATCCTACATGAGCGTCAGTTAGTCATAAACATTTTTCATGCCATAATTTGTTGTGGAAAGTAATGACTTTCTCACAAAGTATCAGCCTCTCTCTCAATTGATGCAATTATCTCTTGTCATGTCCGAGGGGTCAGTGAGTAGAAGTTGTTTAATGAACGTTGCTGCTGTAGCGAGGTGACCGTTAGTAGAAGTCTAACTGTATCGCTTGTTTTTGTTGTTGTTGTTTTTAACCCTGTTCAAGTCGGTTTTTTTTTTGCATCTTGCGACCAGGGGTGGTTTAGGGGCTCCCCTCTATAACTTTAAAATTGACCATGAATACGGCCACCTGCAAAGCCTTGTACACAGAATAATGTGTACTCATCATTTCCAACACCTAGGCATAACTTGCATGATTGGCACAACGACGTAATTTGACGTAATTGTGATATATTGTTGAATTGATTGGTGGAATTCAAATTCTATTCAAACTAGCTATAATAATAATAATAATAATAATAATAGGAATAATAATAATAATAATAATAACTTTATTTGTGTAGCGGTATATACAAAAGCTCTATATCGCTTTACAATCAAAAAAAAAGAAAATAACTAACTAACAATAGCACTAAAACAAAAGTCAATTGAAAGCGAGTCTAAAAAGATAAGTTTTCAATCTAGATTTAAAAACATCAACTGATCCACTTAATTTAATGTCTAAGGGAATATCATTCCAGTGCTTTGGGGCAGCGACCGAAAAGGCCCTTTCCCCATAGCTCTTTAGGCGCTCATTCGGTACTTCTAATAAATGTTTGCTAGCTGACCTAAGATTTCTTGTAGGGTTATATGGGACTATAAGTTGACTTAAATACGGAGGCGCCAGATTATTGAGAGCTTTAAAAGTTAACATTAATACTTTAAAGGTAATTCGCTGCTCCACAGGTGACCAGTGTAGCTCCTTAAGAACGGGGCGAATGTGCGCAGCCCTAGGTTGCCCAGCTACAAGGCGTGCAGCGCAGTTTTGAACGCGCTGGAGCTTCTGAATAATATACTCCGGTGACCCGAGGGGCAACGAGTTACAATTGTCCAGTCGACAAGTAACATAAGCATGGACGAGGGTCTTTGTGCTCTCAGAAGTCAGATGCATTCTAATCTTCGCGATATTCCGAAGATGAAATAAGGCAGATTTACAAACGGAACTCACATGCTTATCCAGTGACAAGGTCTCATCAAAAACAACTCCTATGTTCCTAGCTTTGTCAGACCACTCTACACGATGATCAACAACCAGGATACTATCTAAAGATGGGCGTGGCCGATATTTTAAACTGATAACGAGCAGTTCCGTCTTGTCCCTATTCAACTTAAGTTTGTTACAAGACATCCAACGGTCGATATCTCAAGATTCAACCTGAGAGACAGAATAAGCTTGATCATCCCCACTGAGAGAATTGAAAGACAGATACAACTGAGTATCATCAGCATAGAAATGATAGCCCATGTTGTATTGTCTGACAATATCCCCCAATGGGGAGGTATAGAGCAGATATAAAATCGGTCCAAGCACGGAGCCCTGTGTTACTCTGCACGACAGCGAACGCGTGACAGACCGCTCACCACGAATGCTCACAAAATGAGCTCTGTCGCTCAGGTATGATTTAAACCAGGCCAGAGCTAGATCGCAAAGACCGAAGCGGTTTGCTAATCTCTCAATCAGTATAGTGTGATCAACCGTATCGAAAGCGGCCGATAGATCTAATAAAAGTAAGATAACAGCGAAAAATACTGAAATAGCAAGGTGTCTGATTAAAAATAAGAAGCTGGCTAACACACTTATGGTCTTTAATAATAGCAGTGATGATGACGATTTGTATCATAAAAAAAAGGGCTGGAGACATCCGCCAACTTGGATTTGCCATTTTGAATAAACTAAATGTACTCCATTTTACTTAAAACCCAAATAAAGGGAGGTAATGGTGATACAAAATTTGATCTTTGCATAAACGGATGCTTGGGAAGCAAAAAGAACGTCTGCAGGTTATGAAATTCCAAACAAGCCTCCCCCACCATTGCCAATCTGAATAGGATTACTTCGAGACTGGATGATTACCATTTGCTATAAAAGTGTAAACTCTACCAATTAAACTCCGTTAAAACAGTAATCTCTCACCCAATATCCTGAATTCACTTACAGATGAGTCAACGATACAACGATACAAACAAATACGGTGATGTTCGAGTAACGGATCTGTCGCTAAGAGAAAAAACAAGAAGAGTGATGTTATCCTTTAGACTTTGCATGGTGTTAAAGAAAGCTGGCTCTGAATTCATTGAAGACATATTTATGAAGGAAGTAAAGACTGGCAAATATTTTCCAGGTCTTCAAATCATAGAGGGCAGTGTTGAATTCAAGGCATTTGGTAAGTTACATTCAGTCGAGAGGTCTTTGTTCACGGCTAGAAGCAATAACTACAGAAACAGCATCCTACAAGACAGCATGAGCTGGGATCTCAAATGAAGGTTTTAAGCTGAAAGGGCATATTTAATGCATTATAATCCCAAAAAAGGTCAAACTCTCACATTAGAGAGTACTTGATAATTATTGAGAAGCCTGTGGTAATGCCTTATCTAAATAGTGTTCGTCGTCTTTGCTGCAAAAAGATGAAGTGGCCGGGGTGGACCACTTTGTCCGTCCCCATGGGATGATGCCTGATCTTTTAATAATTATTAAAGGGAGGGGTAGGTCATTCCAGATATACAGGCTTGCAACAAAAAACTGTGGAATGCATTATTTTATAACTAGCCTTCAACTTTCTAGGGGTAAAGCTCACAAACTGGAAAGCTAAAGATGGAGAGTGTGCAAGGTGTTCACAGGGAGGCGGTGGTCCGTTTGTGATAGAAGCTGGCAAATGCGAGCCAAAAGCTGGATACAGCTGTAACGGTTTCAAGAAAATGGAAAAGTCAAGTGATTGTGTAAAATACTGTGATTCAAATGTTGGTAAGAAAAAATGATATATTGACTGTTCTCCAATGAAGGAGTCGCCCCATGTAATTGCTGAATTTTACGTAAACCTAAATAAATTCAAAATTATAGGCTTGTTTTCAATCATCCATGTCGCCATGGCAATCATCGAAATCCTTCGTTTAACCCAATAGATTCTATTTATAAATACATTTTGTCCGTGCCAAATGTGAGATTTACACCTGCCACAAGTCTTAGATATAACATCCCAATGAATGATACGACTCACAACCCATCAAACTATACTCAGCTACCGTAAGAGTAATGAGATTCTCACGACTCGACTTACGCCGTACAATAAACGCCAAGGATCAAGATGGCCGCATAAGAGGTGAAAAGTATGTCAGTCGATAATAAGCAAGCAAGTTTTGAATTTAAATAATTCTTACTAACATCACGATTTTTATTTTAAGCGGCTGTAACACTTTGTTCGTCTGTCTTTACACTGGGAATCCTTATTTCTTTCAGGTAACTTGATTTCCTTAACCTAATTAAGCTAATTTAAGCTAAGCAAGGATATAACTGTCTCCAGTTTGTCCAGATACCTGTTACACCGGTAGAGACTGAATTGATATTGAACTTGATGCGGAGGAAATAAGAGGGACAGTACACTGAAATAGTCGATGAATAAAATTTCGCCCCATGTAATGGAGTCCAAGAAAGTCAGTTGGATTCTTGATTCCACGCCTGGAATCCAGATTCCTAGTACTGGATTCCAGTCTTCGTCAGTGGAACTTGGATTTAGCGGGATTCCAGATTCGTTTAGCTGTATTCGGGATTTCAAAGCGGAGGAATCTGGGTTCCAGAATCAAAATTTTTCCGCATTCCGGATTCTGGATTTCACATGAACAATTTTGCCGTATTCCGGAATCCGAATTCCCTTACATGGGGTGAATCACAGAAGTGAAATTAAAGAGATGAAATACAGTGGACCTTCTCCACAAGGAGACTCGCAGAGACCGTTGTTGGGAGTTGCTCATTTTACTGGAGGGTTAAAAGCATTTTGGTCTCAGTAGAGGGCGGGAATAACTCCATTGTTTTCAAGACCTTTGACAGTGAGTAAATGCGCTGAAGAAGAAGACGAGAAGAAAGGAAAGTAGGCCGTTGTAGTGAAGTTGCCATTTCTACGCTTTCGACTGCAGTGCATGTTGAGCCTACAAATACGTTTTAATTAGAGAGACTCTTTTGACTGGGGCATTTCTAAAAGCATGGCCTTTTTCTTTTGCAGCTTTAATATGTGGAAGTGACTGAGTCGTTTCGAAGATAGTGGAAACAAGTCAAACCGGAACCCGAATTTTTCAAAATCCTGTTTGTTTATCAAAAGGAAGCTTTAACACCAACGACGGCGACGGCTACGAAAACGTCACTTAAAAAGTGAATTCGCGCTACTTCAAACTTCATCGCGCTTATTCCAGCTCGTTCAATTCGTTAAATGGAGTTAAATTCTAAACGACTGTATCAAAGTTCAGGAAAAGAAAAAGAAAGTCGTTGTCTTGTGTTCGCGTCCTCGACAAAACGTGAAATTAGGCACTAGAGAGATCAAGAGTCACGTTTACGGCAAACGGCAAACGTCAAATTCAAGTTAAGAATTTCTCAGAAGAGAAAATAAGCAGATAAAAACTATCCAGGACAATTCTTATGGATAGCACTGGCATGAAACCGCTTATTTTTTGAGTAGAAATAATAAACAGTTAACGACAATTAAGGGGAAAACTTGGTCACGTGGTACTACTTCACGTTTGCCGTTTGGCGAAAACCTGACTCTTAATCTCTCTAATTTCACGTTGTTGTCGTGTAGCGACGGCAAAGAAATGTAAGGAAGCGTGATGCACGTGTCATGTTTTTGTTTTGCGAATCTAAACCTTTTGCTTTTCTGCTTTTTCGTTGCCGTTGCCGTTGCCGTTGCCGTTGCCGTTGCCGTCGTCGTTGCTAGGCTCATTTTTTTAAAAAACTCTCCTCTCCTGAAAGGATTTCTACTTCGCGTTAACTCCCCGTTCTGAACACAACAGTACAAGTCAGAATACAATTTTATGTAAAAATTCGATCGCATTTATTTCTTCAGTCATACGACTTTAGTTTAAGCGCTAAGACTGACTTTTTTTCTTTTTCGTCTTCGATTCTTAGTGTGCAACATACAAATTAAACATATCATTATTCAGAAGAGTGCGATCTGTAAACAGCGGAAAGGTGTCCTTGAGATCATAACATACTAGTTACCGTCACAGATTTTTGGGGGCATTTTTATTTGGTAAAACAATTTATGTTTATTATTGATCATCATATTTAACTCTCTTTTCGTATCATTTCAGCGAACCCTATTAATATACAAATCACTATTAAAGAAACTGTAATTGAGCACTGCAAATAGCCACCCTACGCAATATTTTAATCTTCACTGAAACTTCAAAGAAAAAAATCAAAATCACTTAAAAAGCAGAGTTTGTAATTGTTTTATCTCATAGAGAAATAGAGAAATGCGATTATTATTATTAGTAGTACTATTATTATTATTATTATTATTAATAGTAGTAGTAGTAGTAGTAGTAGTAGTAGTAGTAGTAGTGGTAGTGGTAGTGGTAGTGGTCGTGGTCGTGGTCGTGGTCGTGGTCGTGGTCGTGGTCGTGGTCGTGGTCGTGGTCGTGGTCGTGGTCGTGGTCGTGGTCGTGGTCGTGGTCGTGGTCGTGGTCGTGGTCGTGGTCGTGGTCGTGGTCGTGGTCGTGGTCGTGGTCGTGGTCGTGGTCGTGGTCGTGGTCGTCAAACATGACTGATGGATCTATGTTCATGATTTGCCTGTTACTCGGTAGTTTGAGGATACGAAGAAATATTCATTGCAGCAAATAGTCTTCATCAAATAGCAATTGTCATCTGTTTAGTTATATTTTTGCTGTTCTTGGTATGTTTTTAGGCAGAGGTTCGATTTTCTCTTCGCAAAATGAGCGGTATCTCTAATAGCGCAACCTCGTCCCCAGGTCCTCTCAGTTTCCGCTGTTGACGTCACGGCAGCCATATTTGATGTCCCAAAACAATGAAACGGCAGCCGCCGTGTTGGTGTTCCAAAGTTGATTTTTTTTCTTATGTCAGGGGTGTAACGTGACCATTTTGACACGTGCGCACACGGTTCTATATGGTTTTAAAACTTCGTACAAAACAGCGTTTTTGTTTTCCTTAACTACATAATTGGCAGTTTATGTATCGGTCAAATCCAAGCTTCAACATCCCCCCGGGCAAACCCCCCTGGCATTTGACTTTTTTGAAAATTATTGTTCAAATTCCCCGCTACACGGGCCAAAATGCCGTTCAAATGCCCCACACAAGGGTCCATTCAGGTAATCAAATGCCCCCACCCCGAGGACATTTCACAGGCACATAAATGACAGAAGGACGGTAGAAACGCCAAGCGCCTTCAGATGTCGAACAAAATCTTCATAAATACAGCAAATAATTCGCATTCAATATATCAAAAACTGAGAAGCACTGTTAGCGTATTTACTACGAACAAAAGTCTCGTGCAAAGCGGCGGAAAACGCTGCTACAAGGTCACTAAATGCTCAGCTTTTCTTCGTGTGTCATGCAACATACGAAGCGTTCTATAAAAAAATCCCACCTATCATGACCATTTCACTGACATGCATCATCGTTCACCTTATTAATAAACATACACGAGGCAGGTCAAAGTAATCGACCTCTGTTGAGCTTTATATTGCTGTATTGAATCGCCGGTATAGGTATTTCATTGTATTAATATATTCATATATTCAAAGCCTGAATCCAATATTAAAAATGTTCAAATTTAAATACCTTCAAATAAGGCACAAAGTTGTTTAAGCCCTTTCCTCGTAACCAATTGGCCACAAAGGCAGAATCTTTTCCACGAGAATCCTCTAACACCGCGTCCCCCATGATGGCTCTGTCACAAATTATGTGTGATACAATCAGTTCTCTGTAGCCTTAATTCTTCACTCCATTGAAAGTCTACACTTAAAGGAATCATCGACATCAATTCGCGTAAAAATTCGATGATCTACACTCAATCTACACATTTGATCAGCTCCACGACTCCGAACGACTACACAGTTTCTAGACTCTCGTGCAAAGTTTTCAGATCACGTGACGAGTTTTCCCGCCACAATGACGATAATTTTCTAACACACTCCCCGCCTTGATTGACACAAGTCAATCAACAGCGAAAGGAATAGAATAACAAATGAAAGGAAAAGAGTTCGCTGTTCTTTGACTTAATGTTAATGTTCACTAACGTGTTCCTGTTCAGCATTTCCCACGAAGGTAATAGGGAAATCAGTGTTTCTGTTCTGACGTAGGACAGTAACTCCATTGAACAGGTGGCGAATTTCGTCTGATTTCGCCACCCTATTCTCCACAAACTGCTTGTATTCTTATCTGTGTTTCTAATCCACCACAAAGAAATCATAGAGTCCGTCCAATTGACTACGTCATTAACTTTCACAACGTTTTCTAAAGCTTGATTAACATTCTTCACCATTCTTGACGCAGTAAGGTTAGACAAGAGTTCTAGACGCGGTATGGTTTGCTTATCCAACGGAGCTACTCTGTTTTCGACGCCATAATCTCACATTTTACTCTTGACTCATATTCGACTCTCATGTAAACAACGGCTCCGTACGCCTTTTCAGACGCATCTGCAAAACAATGAAGTTGGAGCGATTTAACTTCATTCCCACCGAGACCTTCAGAGTAACACCTTTTAAACCTCACTCTTCCAGCTAGTCTTAGATCAGACAAATTTGACAAACACTCTTGACTGAGTTCGGTATCCACTAACTCGTCCCAGTCCCTTTGTGCCTTGCACAGGTTTTGAAACATAATATTGAAGGGTAGAATAACTGGACATATTAACCCAAGGGATCAAAGAATCTTGTAGCAGTACTGAGAATCAGTCTTCTTGTAGCTGGCTGAACGTCCACACCCTCCAATACCTTAATCAAGTCATAGATTAGTTCATCTTGGTTAGGGTTCCAAAGTATTACCAAGACCTTCTGTTCTTTCTCAGTACCTTGCTTAAAAACTGACTTTGAGAAGCTCTCATCTTCCTCTTGAACACATTGTATACTGTTTTAGCAAAGTCTCCAACGACGGCTGCATCTTGTTTCAGGGATTGCAAAAGACTTGCTGAGTTGCTGTTCCACTTCCTCATATTGAACCCTCCTGATCTGAGACAGAGTTTTATCTCCTTCGACAAAGAAAAGGCATTGTTCACATCCTTTGCCCCAGAAACGAAGTCGTCTACATACAAAGACTTCAAAAGCTCAAGTGCAAGAGCATTGTCATTCAGCATACATGTATTAACATGGTGTCTGATAGTAGCATTGAGAATGAAGGGGCTAGCCTTCACTCAAAATACAACTCTTGTGAAGCGAAGTAACTTAATCTCAGGTGATTCCTTATGGACATCATCTACCCGTAGAAATCGTAAAACACTCATTCCACGTTAAGTGGGTAAATTACCATTTTTGGGGGTCCATGGCAAGTTTTGGGGACTCAAATTGTTTTCCCATAATCATTTCGCTGAAAAATACTTAAAATATGCCCAAATAAATAGCGACAGTACCCCTTTGTTCTCCTGTAGACAGGGAATCAAGGCCAAAAGTGTCCAAAAAATGCAATTTTGTTATGTCCGCAGAGAGGGTGGGTATAGAAGGTTACGGTATATTTTTCTTGTCGCCTTATACTGTGAAAACTAATCAATCCAATGTCTCGGGAGGGACCTAAACTAAAGTCCTACATGATCATTTCTCACTGCAGGTCAGTTTTGTTGCTTTTAACTACAGTGAACTGGTGTCCGCTATTTTTATGAAACTTCCGTTACCGATCTGAGGGCAGATCACAAATGGCCTAGAAATAAATACTGCGAATGATTTACATCGGGTAAATATTACTTAAGTTTGCTCTTTTGGATACGCAATACAGAAAATGAAGAGCAGAAGCCTGTGGAAAGAAATTCCCCCTCACAATAGCAGGATTCAGGGTGAACAGTTAAGGCTGTAACTTCCGTCACTAAGATTACAGTAGGAAAAAATGAAAAGTGGGTCGTGCTGATTTTTGTGGTGACGGAGGAGCTAGTGAGGATTATTATGGAGTATGTTTGGTTTTTCCGAGTTATTAATTTCACTTCAAGATGTAACAGAAAAGGTAGAATTGTAACTTCCGTTACCAAGAATTTGTCCGGTCTCTAAAACATGGGATAAACGTCAGGAAAATTTCTGGAAATGCTGTCACATGATTGCCCCATCAAACAACCCAAGCCTTGATGACATCTGGTGAATATTTCGTCATAAGTAACCCTCATACGTGTACCATTGGTGAGATACCTCTCTGTCAAGTGTGATAAGGGAATTTTAGCTGAGTTTGTGGTTCGACAAGTTTTTTTTGCATAGTTTAAAGAAGTTTATTTTCCTTTGAAGTATTTCTAGGCAATTTAGGAATATAAGATGAAAATGGGACAGGCATCTTGATCATTTTATTATTTTTTTTAAAGTAACGGACGTTACACAAAACAGGAAGTGGATTATCTGAAGCTGTTTTCGCTAGTTCAACCCTCTTTTCTGTGAATGGACCTTACAATATTCATGTATTACAATTCTTGTACGAATTCTAACAGATTACCATGTATCTATTAATTTTTTTCTTTCAATTCAATTTATTTTGCTCATTTTGTTGTTTTTAGCCTTCTTCCACCCAAAAATTCCAAAATTTCATCCAAAATTGTTTAGCATTAATTCAATTCAATAGAATAAGTCGTATGCGTCGTTATTTAAAACGGTCTGTAATCCCAAAAGTAAGTAGTTGGAAGAGAAATGAAATATTACCTTCCTTCTGTAACTTCCGTTACCGAAACTTATTTGATAATCACTCGTTTTCTACTAGATCACATGTTTCCAAACTATAAAAAAGGTAAACAACACTTTCTTTCCTTCACATTTAGCAAAATAATGTTTAGTCTGACGGCCTTTTTAAAGAAAAAACATTAAAAAAACACAGCAATTTTAAATTCTCAATATTTTGTTACGTCAGACCAAAGTACACCATGGCAGAACAACTTGACTTTTTCATTCCCTGAGCCTCTGATTTGACTAAAATGTAAAACTCAGACCTTAGCCTTCCCCGGATTTCATTTTAAACATTTTACAGTATGCTAAATTGAAAAAAAAAACATACTATAATGCAACACTGTGCTTTTTCAAGCCATTCAAAATATCACACTACATGATATTAAATAACAGGCTATAACTTTTTATAGATAAAAGATATGTTGACCAAATTTTGGTTTCTCACCCTTCAATAATACATCTTTCGGTTAAATTAACTACTTGTCTGATTTGTTGACCTTCGATTTTTCGAAAATCCTTGGCACAATTTACCCACTTAACGTGGACTGAGTGAAAAAGTCTCTGTGTCCTGGATCAATCTCAATATTCAAAAATGCTTTCTCAATATCAGCAGTTAAGGCAACTTCATGAACTCTAAATCTCAGCAAAATGTCCAGTAGAAGAGGATTTAATGAAGGTCCGACATGCAGACAGTCATTTAAGCTTGGTCCAAACACCTTGAATGAGGCATCGTATACAACTCTCACCTTTGTTGTATCTCTGTCAAGTCTCACAACTCCCCTTTGTGGGAGATAGTGTACATTACCAGGTTCTAGGACTTGATCTTGCCGCACTTCTTCAACTACTCCACTTTCTAATTGCTCCTTAATCACTTGACCATATTGTTTCAGTATTTCTGGTTGGGTCTTAAGCTTCTTAATCACAGTTGACAAACTGAGGGCGTTACATGTGCTAGAAGACCTAGAACCACTTGTTTAACTTTTCCATACATTAGTCTGTAAGAAAGTCCCGGGAAAAATTACAGACAAATATATGGAAAATCTAAAGCAAGCCTCCAAAATTTTTTAGTGCAATCCTTTGCTTAGAAGCTTTAGTTTACAACTGCTATTTTTTTCAGAACAGCCGT